TTCCTGACTGTCTTCCTGTGCCTGCTTGCCTATCTGTCTTTCTCCCTCCCCTCTCTCTCTTTCTCTCTCTCTCTCTCCCCTGCTGCCTCCCTCCCCCCCCCTCCTCCCTCTCTCTCCTCTCCCTGTTCCTTCCCCCTCCTCCCTCCTCCCTCTTTCTCTCCCTGTTCCTTCCCCCATCCCTCCCTCCCTCCCCCTCTCTCTCTCTCTCTCTCCCGTCCTCTCTCTCTCTCTCTCTCTCTCTCTCTCTCTCTCTCTCTCTCCTCTCCTCTCTCTCCCTCCTCTCTCCCCCTCTCTCCTCCTCTCTCTCTCTCTCTCTCTCCCTCTCTCGCTCTCTCTCTCGTCTCTACTCCTGTAACATCCCACCTACACTCCCTCTCGCTTCCTTCACCCTTCCCTCACATCCTCATTTCTAATCCATTCCTCGAAAACGTTTTCCAAGCAGTCCATATCCAGAGACCGACGAGACCACTCCCCCCCTCCCCTACACGCAGACAAAAGCTCCAGACCACGAGAGAAAGCCCAGACCACGAGAGACAAGCCCAGACACGACACCCACAACACGAGAGAACAAGCCCAGACCCACGAGAAAACAAGCCCAGACCACGAGAAACAAGCCAGACCACGAGAGAAACAAGCCCAGACCACGAGAGAAACAAGCCCAGACCAGAGGGAACAAGCCCACAACCACGAGAGAACAAACCAGCCACGAGAGACAAGCCCCACACCAGGAGAAGAACAAGCCGCAGACCACGAAGAGACAAGCCCAGACCACGAGAGAACAAGCCAGACCACGAGAAGAAAAAGCCCCAGAGAGAAACCCAAACCACGAGAGAACAAGCCCACACCACGAGGAACAAGCCCACCCACGAAAGAGACAAGCCCAGACCACGAGAGAACAAGCCAAGACCACGAGGGAACAAGCCCAGACCACGAGAGAACAAACCCAGACCACGAGAGAACAAGCCCACACCACGAGAGAACAAGCCCCAGACCACGAAGAAAACAAGCCCAGATCCACGAGAGAACAAAGCCCAGGCCACGAGAGAACAAGCCCAAACCAAGAGAAGAAAAGCCAAGACCACGAGAGAACAAGCCCAGACCACGAGGAGAAGAACAAGCCCAGACCACGAGAGAACAAGCCCAGACGAGAACAAGGCCCGACCACGAGAGAACAAGCCCCGACCACGGGAGGAACAAGCCCAGACCAACAAGAGAACCAAGCCCAAGACCACAAGAGAACAAGCCCAGACCAGAGAGAACAAGCCCAGACCACGAGGGAACAAGCCAGACCAACGAGAGAACAAGCCGACCACGAGACAACAAGCCAGACCACGAGAGAACAACCTAGAACTGAGAACATACAGCAGACCACGAGGGAAACAAGGCCAACCACGAAGAGAACAAGCCCAAGACCACGAGAGAAAAGGGCCCCAGACCACGAGGGAAAACCCGACCCGCAGACTCCAAACGACAGAACAACCCAGACCACGAGAAACAAGCCCAGACACGGAAGAACAAGCCCGACCACGAGAGACAAGCCCAGAACACCCGAGGGACGCCAGACCACCGAGAGACAAGCCCACACCATCGAGAAGAACAAGCCCAGACACAAAGAGAAACAAAGCCCAGACCACGAGAGAACAAGCCAAGACCACGAGGGAACAAGCCCAGACACAGGAACAGCCCAGACCACGAGAAGAACAAGTCCCAGACCACGAGAGAACAAGCCCAGACCACGAGGAACAAGCCCAGACCAGAGAGGACAAGCCCAGACACACGAGGAACAAGCCCCAAGCACGAGAGAACAAGCCAGGCTACGGAGAACAAGCCCAGACCACGGGAGAACAAGCCCAGAACCTACGAAGGGTAACAAGCCCGCAGACCGCGAGAGAACCAACCCAGACCACGAGAGAACAAGCCCCACCCACGAGGGAACAAGCCCGACCCGGGAGAAACAAGCCAACCACGAGAGAACAAGCCAGACACGAGAGACAAGCCAGACCACGGGAGAACAAGGCCAGACCACGAGAGAACAAGCCTAACCAGAGGGAACAAAGCCCAGACCAACGAGAGAGACAAGCCCACACCCGAGAGAACCAAGCCCGACCGACAAGAGAACAAACCCAGAACACAGAGAGAACAAGCAAGACACTCGAGGGAACAAGCCCAACCACGAGGGAAACAAGCCAGAACCACGAGGGAACAAGCCAGAACCACGAGGGAACAAAGCCCAACAGAGAGGACAAGCCCCAGATCCACGAAGGAACAAGCCCAGCCCACGAGAGAACAAAGGCGCCAGGCTACGCGAGAACAAGCCCAGGACCACGGGAGACACAAGCCCAGAACCACAAGAGAACAAGCCAGACCCGAGAAAAAGCCACACCACGAGAGAAAGCCCAGAACCACAAGAAAGAAACAAACCCAGACTCAGAGAGAACAAGCCAGAACCCCGAGAACCAAGCCCAACCCAAAGAGAACAAGGCCCAGACCACGAGAGAACAAGTCCAGACCACCGAGAGAACAGCCTCAGACCACGAGGGAACATCCCAGACCAACGAGAGGAAAGCCAAGACCCACACGAGAGGAACAAGCGGACAGAGGACCTATACCCGAGAACAAGCCCAAGGCTAGCAGGGAAACAAGCCCAGACCAACGGGAGTAGGACAAGCCGCGACTGACCGGATGGTAAATTACGGGGTGCGAACGAGCAGAGCATTAAAGCGCCTGTATACTCACGACGAAAAACAAGTCCCCTAGACCACCGAGAGAAAAGCCCAGAAACTCACGAAGAGAACCAAACCACAGAACCACGAGACAACAAGCCAAGCCCGTAGAACCAAGCCCAAGACAGAGAAAGAAACAAGCCCAGACCTATACGAGAGAAACAACCCCGACCGAGAGAAAGCCCAGACACGGGAGACAAGCAACCCAGACCACGAGAGAACAAGCCCAGACCACGAGAGAACAAGCCCAGACCACGAGAGAACAAGCCCAGACCACGAGGGAACAAGCCCAGACCACGAGTCCCAGACCACGAGAGAACAAGCCCAGACCACGAGGGAACAAGCCAGAACACGAGGAACAAGCACAGACACGAGAGAACAAGCCCCGACCACGAGAGACAAACCCACGGTAGAACAAGCCCCAGACACGAGAGAACAAGCCAGACCCACAGAAGAACAAGCCCAGACCAGAGAAGAACAAGCCCAGACCCAGAAGAGAACAAGCCAACCACGAGAGAACCAAGCCCAACCACGCGAGAGAACAAGCCCAGACCCAAGACAACCGACGAGAGAACAAGCCAAGACCCCGAGGGAACAAGCAGACACGAGAGAACGAAGACCACTAGACCACGAGAGAACAAGCCCCGACACGAAACAAGCCCACACACGAGAGAAAACAAGCCCAGACCACGAGGGAACAAGCCCAGACCACGAGGGAACAAGCCCAGACCACGAGAGAACAAGCCCAGACCACGAGAGAACAAGCCCAGACCACGAGGGAAACAAGCCCAGACCACGAGAGAAACAAGCCCAACCACGAGAGAACAAGCCCAGAACACGAGAGACAAGCCAGACCACGAGAGAACAACCCACACCACGGGAGAACAAGCCCAGACCACGGAGAACCAAGCCCAGACACGAAGAGAACAAGCCCAGACCACGAGGGAACAAGCCCAGACCACGAGAGAACAAGCCCCGAGAGAAAAGCCCAGACCACGAAGAGAACGAAAGCCCAGACCACGAGGGAACAAGCCCAGACCACAGAGAAACAAGCCCAACCACGAGAGAACAAGCCCAGACCACGAAGGGAAACAAGCCCCACACACGAGAGAACAAGCCCAGACCAGACGAGGAGAAAAGACCCAGACCACGAGAGAACAAGAACCAAGAGAACAAGCCAGACCACGAGAGAACAAGCCCAACCACGAGAGAAAAGCCCAGACCACGAGAGAACCACCAGACCACGAGAGAACAAGCCAGACCACACAAGCCCAGAGAGAGACAAGCCCAGACACGAGAGAACAAGCCCAGACCACGAGAGAACAGCCCAGACCACGAAGAACAAGCCCAAGCACGAGAGAACAACCCACACCACGAGAGAACAAGCCCAGACCACGAGAGAACAACACCCAGACCACGAGAGAACAAGCCAAGACCACGAGAGAACAAGCCCAGACCACGAGAGAACAAGCCCAGACCACGAGAGAACAAGCCAGACCACGAGAGAACCAAGGAGAGAACAAGCCCAACCGAGAGAACAAGCCCACGAGAGAACAAGAGAGAGACAGGAGAGAACAAGCCCAGACCACGAGAGAACAAGCGACCCACACGAGGGAACAAGCCAAGAACGAGAGAAACAAGCGAGAGAACAGAGAGAACAAGCCCAGACCACGAGGGAACAAGCCCAGACCACGAGAGAACAAGCCCAGACAAGAGAGACCACAAGAGACAAGCCCAGACCGACCGACCACGAGAACAAGCCCAGACCACGAGAGAACAAGCCCAGACCACGAGAGAACAAGCCCAGACCACGAGAGAACAAGCCCAGACCAGCGAGGACGGTGCAGACCCCAGCGTTTGCATTCCCTCCCGGCGACAGCCCAACGGCCCGAAGCGAGAGAAGAAAAAATGGCAGTAAATTTAAGAATGCAATAATCGCGATTTGGGTATTCCACGCGCGGACGACCGTTTGCGAGGTCCTCTCGGTTCGCGTGGACCACACGGGGGAGGGGAGGGTGGGGGCGGGGGGGTGGGGGATAGGGTTTGTTATGGATAATCGTATGCGCTTCTTGGGGTTGGGGGGTGGGGGTTAGGAGTGGGGGATAGGGTTTGTTATGGATAATTGTATACTAGCAATGCATATTTCTTATCATCATCATCATCATCATTTTCATTATAATTATCATCATTTCAATATTATTATCAATTATCATCATTATCGTTACTATTATCTTTATCGTCATTAGTTCTGTTATTATTATGACCAACATTTTCTTTATCATAGTATCATTACTGTATCAATATAATTAGTTACGTTATTATTATCATTACTATTGTTATCATCATCATTATTATTACTATAATCATTATTATTATTGTTATTGTTTTCAGTATTACCATTATAATCATCTTTATCGTTAGTATTATCATCATTATTATCGTTATAATTATCATTACTATCATCATAATTAGTGGTAGTAGTAGTAGTGTTAGTATCATATCTATGTTTTATCATTATCATTATTATTATTATCATTATCATTACCATTAATGTCATCATTGATATCATTACTATCATTATTATCATTATTATCTTGATTAGTATTGTTATCATCATTATTTTCATCTTCAATAATATGATCATTATCACTATTATCATCATTTTGTTTTATGATCATTAATTTCATTATTACATTTATTATGATTATGATTATTATCATTATTACCATTATATACATTATTCACTATATAATTATTATTAATGATACGGTTTTTATTACCATTACTGTCATTATAAATACTTTTATCATCACTATCATCCTCATTATTGTATATGCTACTCTCTTATTTTTTATCATTCTTCGATTCTACTTTTTCAAACATTACCATTACCATTTTTATCATCACTATTTTCATCATTAATTCCTGGTAGTCCGTGGTTTGGCCAAGAAGTCGCAATAAAAAGGGTTTATAAATGGAGATATGTTTCTAAAATTCGGGGATACTTTTTTGAACTAGTATAAAGTAACAAAGTAATGGCAACTACAATAGCAGTATTAGTATTAGCACTGGTTGTAGTAGTTGTAGCAAGTATAGTAATAGCAAAAGTAGCAATTGCAGCGGTAGAAATATTGATGGTAGAAGGATTAGAAGTACAGAATAAAAAAAATAATAAGTGCATGAAGAAATATATAGACGCACAACACACAAAATGTGTGTATGCATGTATGTATGCATATATATATATATATATATATATATATATATATATATATAATATATATATATGTGTGTGTGTGTGTGTGTGTGTGTGTGTGTGTGTGTGTGTGTGTGTGTGTGTGTGTGTGTGTGTGTGTGTGTGTGTGTGTGCATACAAAAAGGGAGCGAAGTAAAAAAAAAAAATATAATTGATAAGAATCATAAAGAAAGAAAGAAAGAAACGAAAATCATAATAAATTAAAAATAAAATTCTGCACAAAAGGAATGGCATCATCCGCCTCCTGTTGCTGAACAAGCGCGTAATACCGGTATGTTGCAAGAGTTCAAATGAATATGCATTTAAAAAGATAATATAGGTGTTATTTCACAAAGCTATGTGCCTAATTGCAGGTCAAAATAACTGGGAAGGGGCGTAAAAACAATAAAAGCTGGAGACATAACTTTTAAAAATTAATATCCGAGTGGAAACGTAATGAGAAAAACTAATTAAAAAATATATTATGGCTGTTTATACGTGTGTACGTGTATGCCTGCTTGGATGTTTATCTGCTTACTTGTTTGTGTTTTTTGTGTGCGAATGTGAGGTTTTGTATCTTTACTTGTATATTTTTTTTTTTTTCTATTTGTTTGTATGCGAGCATATGATTGTCTGTTTGATCTCTCTGTCTCTGTCTCTCTCTCTCTCTCTCTCTCACGTTTTTTCTCTCCCTTTCTTACTCTCGCTCTCTTTGTCTGTCTGTCTCTGTCTCCCTCTCTGCCTCTCTGTCTCACTCCCCCTCTCTGTCTCTGTCTGTTTGTCTCTCTCTTCTTTCTTTATTTATCTTCTTCTCTTTCTCTCTCTCTCTCTCTCTCTCTCTCTCTCTCTCTCTCTCTCTCTCTCTCTCCTCTCTCTCTCTCTCTATATATATATATATATATATATATATATATATATATATATATAATATATATATATATATATATATATATCCGTCTCTCCCTCTTTGTTCTGGCCTGTCTGCCTCAACTCCTATCATTATTTCCATTCTGTTTGTGGCAACTTTGTGGCACTGTATCTTACCTGTGCTTTTCGTGATCTTTATATCTGGCGTCAATGAGATTCCTTCAGACAAAGGCAACGAGACGCCAACAAACAAACAGACATTCAACAGAATCTCGTGATCTAAAAAGGCAAACGAGCGGATGGAAGGTTCGGGACCGCAACTCGTTCGGTATTTGTATGGTACTCCTCGTCTGGTCCCCGAACGGTTCTCTGCGCCGCTCCTGAGAGGGGACCCCGAGCCTCTTCGCCGCCCTTGGCCGTAAAGGTACTTCCCTAATTAGCCTCCCCATCAGGAGCACTATATATGCATAACACCCGTCTTAACAACCCCTGAATGACGTACCTGACGCGGCGCACCCGGGGCAAGAAAGGGGGATGGGGAGCTAGTTCCAGAGGGGCGATGATCCTCTTTTAATCAAGAGCTAAAACCGTCCTTGTTGCTGGCCGGACTGGCACGGCGCGCGGTCTATCTACGGGACACAAGTTAATTGCGCATTTAGGAGTTTATTTTGAATT